CTGCCAATAATATAATACCTTTTAATAGATCTCAGTGACAAAAGTAGATAAAATGAATCATCACATACCAGCTAGATTTGATAACTGGTGTAAATCCCAAATAGAACTTTATTGTAACAACTAATAGGTATCCTATTTATTATATCTAAAACCATTAAAAAGTTACTATTCATAGAATTAAAAAAGGCATTAACTTCAATACATGAATACCTATCCATACCAGACCTTCCGGAGAGACATTCCACCATACAACAGACACCATACATATAGAATTATATAACTGGACCTGTACACTTATAAAACATCTGAAGCAATAAGAAATTTGGATTAACAAATGAAAAGTGAAAAAGAATGGGACTAAATCAACTCAAGACAGCTTCAAAATCATCAATAGCATATATTAGGTATAACAGCTATTTGGACCATATAGGACAAATGTGTAATAAGTAGAGGCTTTGTTGCCTCTACTTATTACATTGTTGCTGTTGCACATTTATATAAATGTTGCTTGAAAATAAGCAACATTTATATAAATGGATAATTATAAGCACTTTGAAACTACAAAATCCAGTTGTTGGGTTTCTCCAAACGGTCAAATGCCAAGATAATTCACAGAACCCAATCAACAATACGAAGACTTATATTGAATGCTCCATAATAACAAAAAAAAGACATGATCACTAGATTACACCTATAAACTGACAAATCAGCCAATGACAAAGCAAGTAAAACAGTTCATTCAGTCATTCCTCTTGAATTATAGAGGAATTGAAGAAGCTCTGTGGAACAAATTTGTTAAACTTACAAAAAATATAGTATAAACTCTCATTATTAAAGGAGAGATGCCACTGCACAACTTTTCTCTCATGTTCTTCTTTAAGTGCTGTCTCCCAATCGGAGGTTGGATATCATCATCACTATCTTTACTTTATCTACTGCTGCTCTGAAGAGTTCTATAGAACTGCATCTAAACCAGTCCCTTAAATTCTTCGACCATGACACTCTTCTTCTTCCTATACTCCTTCCTCCTCTTATCTTTCCCTGTATTATCAGCCTTAGCAGTTCATATTGCTGTCCCCTCATTACTTGTCCCAGATATTGTAACTTTCTTATTTTATTGTGTTTAATATTTCACATTCTTTGCCCATTTCTCGCAAAACTTCTGTGTTAGTTTTCTTGTGTCCATGCTATTCTAAGCATTCTCCGGTAACACCACATTTCAAAGAACTTTACCTTATTTATGTGTTCTTGGTTCAATATCCAGCTTTCAAGTCCATATTGCAGTATCGAAAACATGTAGCATTTCAGTGCTCCGACTCTCAGTTCTAATCTAAGGTCTTTGTTGTAGAGAATTGTTTTCATTTTTACAAACGCATTTCTTGCTATTTCTATCCTGGCTCTTATCTTGGTTGTTTGATCATTATTGTCTGAAATCCAGGTTCCTAGGTATTTGTATTTATCAACCCTTTCTATCAGTACATTTCCCAAATGTATGTTTGTTGGTATATTTGTTTTCTTTGTTATTATCATGTATTTGGTCTTTTTTATATTAATTTTTAGTCCATATTTTTCACAGAAACTGTTTGTTTTGTTTAGCAGTAATTGAAGTTCTTCAGCAGAGCTTGCCATAATCACGGTGTCATCTGCATATCTTAGGTTGTTAATAGATCTTCTGTTAATTATTATTCCTTCACTTTGAGATAGTAATCTTCAAAAATGGCTTCACAATATACATTAAATAGTAATGGGGACATAATACATCCCTGCCTAACTCCTCTGCTGATTTCAATTTCTGGACTGGGTTCGTTATCTATTACGATTTGTGCTCTTTGGTTCCAGTAAAGGTTTGTTATTATTCGTAAGTCCCTATGGTCTATGTTTTTTGTCTTTAGAATTTGGTCTTCATCATCATCATCACTGGCTCGACAACCCTTTTTGGGTCTTGGCCTGTTCAAGGATTCTTCTCCATTCTGACCTGTTTCGTGCTTTTTTTTTCCAGTTTTTAATTTTTAATGTTGTTATATCATTTTCTATTTGTTCTACGTATCTCAGCTTCGGTCTTCCTCTTGTTCTTTTTCCTACTGGCACTTGTTTGAATATTTTGTTTGGTATTTCGCCTTCTTCCATTCTTTCCACATGTCCAATCCAACGTAGCCTTCCTATTTTAATGAATGTTATGATATCCGGATCCTGGTATATGTTGTATAGTTCAAAGTTATACCTTCTCCGCCAAATCCCGTTTTCTTTTGTGCCCTTATATATGTGTCGCAAGATTTTTCTTTCAAAGGTGACTAATAACGTTTCCTCCCTTTTAGAGAGTGTCCAGGTTTCTGAACCGTATGTGAGTACCGGTCTTATTAAGGTTTTGTATATTTGGCATTTTGTTTTTCTGGAGACGTTATCTGATCTTAGTTGCCTAATTAAGCCATGGTAACATTTATTGGCAATAAATATTCTCCTCTTCACTTCCTCTGCAACGTTGTTATCAGACGTAACTAGGGATCCTAAGTATGTAAAGTTTTTTACCGCCTCAATGTTGTATTCTCCTATTGTTAAATTTGGCAGCTGCCTTATTTGTGCGTTTTTATTTGCAGGCATATATTTTGTTTTTGTCTGATTGATTTTAAGACCACTATTTTTTGCAGCTCGTTCTATTTGAGTGAATGCCTCTATCATTTCTCTTCTTGATCTTGCGATTATATCAACATCATCTGCAAATGCTAGTACTTGCACGCTTTTATTAATTATTGTTCCTCGGGTATTAACTGTTGTGTCTCTTATTATTTTTTCAAGTATGATGTTGAATAATATGCATGATAGAGCGTCTCCTTGGCGTAGTCCCTTCTTCACATCTATTGTTTCCGTTAATTCGTTTTGTATCCGGATTTTACTTTCTACTTTTAGTGTTTCTTTTATCAATTCTATTAGCTGTGTTGGTATATTAAATTCTTTCATTGCTTTTATTAGGAATTCTCGGTTTATATTGTCATATGCGCTTTCGAAGTCTATGAAGAGATGATGTGTGTCGATGTTATATTCACTTGTTTTTTCAAGTATCTGTCGCAGAACAAATATCTGGTCTATTGTTGACTTCTGTCTATAGAAGCCACATTGGTATTTGCCAACTATTTTTTCAGCGTATGGTCTAAGTCTTTCATACATTACGTTGGACATTATTTTGTATGCCGCATTCAACAGCGTGATTCCACGGTAGTTTTCACATTCTAACTGGTTTCCTTAGAATTTGGTCTTACTTTGTCAAAATCAATGTAACAAACATGCACATCAACATTCATATCAATGCATCTTTGAGCTAACACATTAAAAGCAAATAACGTTTCTCTGGTTCCTAGTCCGTTTCTGACCCCAAACTGACTATCATCTATTCCTTCTTCTAGTTTTTTATTTATACAACCATGTATTATTTTCAGGAATAATTTGAGAATGTGACTTATTAGCGTTTGTAGTTTTAGGGATACCACGAAAGGTGGAGAGTAACCATTGTTTCGGTATGTGTCCTGTTTTGTATACTGAGTTAAATAAGTCTACTATAATTTCTAAAGTTCCATCATTCATGCATTTTAAGATTTATATAGGGATTTGGTCTGGACCTAATGCTTTACCATTTTTGCTGTTTGTTAATGCCATTTTAATTTCCTCTTCTAATATCTTTAAAACCATATCCTCTTCTACTTTTATCTCCATATGTACTGTTATATCGTCTTTAAACAGTTCATTAATGTATTCTGTCAATCTCCTTAATTTGTCATTAGTATTCAACATAAGTTTCCCATTTGCATCTTTCAGTTTCTCATGTAGGTACCTTAATTTCAGACTATTTGCTCATAGCTTCACTGAAACAGATTGTAAATTTAAAATATAGGAACATAAAAATTATGTTAGCTATTTTCTGTATTGGCATAGTGATATGGACATCTTTTCTTTGAAAAATGGCAAATATGGTCAAGTTTTCTGCAACCTGTTTGAGAGAAAAAAGTTTGTGTTGTGCCATTTAATCTAAAGGTACGGTAGGTTAAATATTAGGGAAGTGATTATTACACATTTCCATTAAATCATGTTTGGATGTGTCTTATTTTTGGTGAATACCAAAAATCTTTAGCCAAAGGTAATACAATTGATTCATCAAGAGTCTGCAAGTACTGTCAGTCTGTCCAAAGAATATAGATGCATATATCAGTCTGTTTGTCATAATATATGTCTGGAAGTTATAAAAAAACAAACAATTTGGTACTCTTCTTGCTTAGGGATTATACAGAAAAAGGAGAAGTAAAATAATCATAGAGCACAGAACAGAGAACAGAAACCTCTCAGAACTATGGAGGAAATGCCAATTTGAATATGAGGAAAGTATTTCGAATATGGTAACAAATAAAAAATGAATAAAAAGAACAATAGTATTTCTAACCTACAGCTGTGTACAGTTTTTAAACATATTTTATTTACTTAGCATAGAAATTGAAGATGTTTTTATTTTAATATAAATAATGTAACATGTAATGTAATAATAATGTTACGGCATCAACTAGGTAATAAGAATCAAAATAATATTTAATATTGAACAGAAAAAAATGTAGAATTGTAAATCTTTATACATTTTACTACATCATGTAGAATTACTACATCTTGAAGGCTTGCTATAGCTTATTTCCCCATTGTCAATTTTATTATTATTTTCAATTAACAAAATGATTTTATTTCATTAAAAGCATTATGTGATTCATATTTTATATAAATTGAAGATTAATTCATAAATAGACCATTACTTGAAGGTTAGCACAAGTACCTACTATTTTTATATTGTACAATAAGTTGACGTAATTGTAAATAATGTTATTTATAACATACAAGTGTCTACAAAAGATATATAGGTAATCAATTTGTAAAGACACCTTAGTTACAGTCTATTTAATTATCGAATCTAAGATTCTGTTAAGTTTCAATATAAATTATACTAACTAGAAATCAAAATATTATCTTACCTTTTTAACAATATATCACAAATTCCATTCACTATAACTGGAAATAAATAATATGGGTTACAGTATTTCACTTTTATAATATTCGTTTATTATCGGAGACTATTCATTTCAATAATTATCATTTTTATGCATATTTCAGTTTATTCAGTTGTAACATGACAGTTAACTTATTGTTAACTTTACTTAACAAAGTTTATAGAGGAACTAAAGCGAGGTTGTTGAATACTTTCATTTGTACACACACGTTGCCAATTTTCTTGAGAAGAGAAATTGCATTTGCAATGACCAAACCACCACAAAAAGTGTGTCATGTATATTCTCGTGTACCTACTGAAGTTCTATTTTTATGTAAATATTGTTGTATTTTCAACTCTAGTTTAACGCTAAAAGGTTTATAAACTTAAGTTGATATCGGGTTAAAGGATACAATGAAGTAATTAAAAATGAAAGAGTGCATGAAATGATAATAGGTATAACGGAAATTACAATAATTTTCAACTTTAAAGATCTATTTTGTACTCGTCTATAAATGCGGCCGCAGTATCCAGTAATTTACTTTTTAGGTAATCTTCCTCGATGAAAATGTTCTTTTGAATTAGTCAATCCTTGATTTGTCTTTTGTTCCGGAATTTTTTCGGGAAATCAAATGGGAGTGGTATGACGCGTTATCCAAAAAGACAACGTTTTCTTTGCCTTTCGGCAAGTTTGGAATTAACGTTTTCTTAAACCATTTTTCATAACATACTCACTGGCACGAAAAACGCAACACTTGCATTTTTGAAATAAAAACTTAAAATTTTAATTTTCTTAAAACTTTTATTATAATAACGTAAAAACAAACGAATCAAACTGTTTTAATTAATTTATAATAAAAATTTAACTTTTTAACAAAAGTCTGTTTCAGTAGATGACAATTTAAAAATTAAGAAAAAAAATGTAAGTAAATGTTGTAACAAAATGACTCTCAATTACTAAACACTTAAATCATCTGCCCGGACAAACTGATTTTCCTCCACGTGCTTGAATTATTGCCTGAATTCTTCTTGGCATGCCTAAAATCAAATGAGAAATGTCCTGTTGAGGAATAAATTGCTATTCCTCTAAAGGGACTTCTTGTAACTGATTTAAGGTTAAAGGGACAGGAACACGACTTCGTATCCTTCTCCCAAGTATCTCCCAAACATGGTTGATTGGGTTTGCGTCTCGACTTAATACTAGCCAATACATTTCACGAATGTTTACTTCATTTACAAACTGTTAAGGAATTCTCGCTGTGTGAGGCTTGGCATTATCATGCATGAGAACAAAGTCATTTCCAACAAAACCAGCATAAAGCTCAACAAAATCTTGGAGAATTTCATCAATGTAAGTGGCAGCTGTTATGAAGCTTTAGAGAAATTCCAGTCTACACCATAATTTAGATCCCTTAATAGTCTACCCTAGGACTGAAGGTACATTCTGCAAAACGCTCATGTGGTCTTTGCCATACTCTCTCACGGCTATCTGGAGAGCGCAAGGTAAACCTAAACTCATTGGTAAATAAAACGTGCCTTCAATTATTTACAGTAAAGTAAGCATGGTTTCTGGCATGCTCTGAACTGAAGCAGCGCAACTCAATGGCGCTTGAGAAGTTGTAGGCCTGCTACAGGTCTGTGACTGTTTAAATTTGCTTCTCCAAGCATTCGTCTAATTGTTCGTTCACTTACGTTAGTATTGTTCTGAAGCTGATTATATATTCTAATTGGAAATTGAAACGTCAATAAACGTATTTTTATCTTTAATTGTGGCTTATTCCCAGTTATAAATAGTAATTAACTTACGTTAGTATTTCGGAGGTATTGAAGTTAATTTCGGATTTGTACAACCGTAGCACGACGATCTCGTAGACTTTTTAAGAGGATAAAGCGATCATCACGGGCACTAGTTCTTCGTAGGGGACTGGTTCCAGGTCGTCTAGTTTTCTGTTGCCAAGAAACATGTAAAAATACGGTGTACAGTACTATTGGATATTTGATACTTTTGAGCAACACATCGCTTAAACACACTTCTTCCGTCTTAAATAAACGCAAGAATAGCAGCCGCTGTTTCGGGATTTACGACCATAGTTCCTGGGATTAAATCAAAATTCAAAGAGAGATTAAATTCAAAGTGTGTTTGACACTTGATTTGACTTGATAGTTTACTCACATCAACAAGAATAAAAGAATAACAATAGAATATTAACAACTCCCTTTGCACTTTTAAAATTGATAAGAATAGTGTATTCTTTATTTCTGATTTTTTAGTATTTTTTTCAGATAAGCACTTAATTTTTATTAGAAATTACTTAAAACAGTTTGTTTCGTTTGTGTTTACATTATTATAATAATAACAGTTTAAAGAGAATTAAAATTTTAAGATTATATTTTTAAAATGCAAGTGCTCCGTTTTTCGTGCCGGTGAGTGTAGATCCCGTCAATTTGGTCGTGGTAATTAGAGGTTCCCTTCTTGGCCAAAAAAGTTAATTCGTCCCATGCCACAAAACCAGTTTCGCTTCCATCATGAAGAAGAACAAACCGAGGATCTCTTTGGGTTGGGGCTTTCAGTTCAGTAGAGAGCCATTTTATGAAGGCATCTCGTGGATTCTTGATCGTTATGTCCCTCTATTTCTTTTTACTAAAGTCCCGACCTTAGTTCAAGACTCATCGGCATAAACAAGGTTTACATTATCCTTCCTTCTCAATGTTTTTATTTGTCTGAGGTACTTGTGTCTCCAGGATATGATATCTTTTCTTTTCATTATTATCAAATTTTGACTTCTTTTACCATATTCAAAACCGATTTTATTTAGTAGACTACGAAATGTGGTTTTTGAAAAACTGGTAGGTCCTTATCATCCCTTACTCTTTTCATTATGCTATCGAATGTTGGTGGTATGTTTAAAAAAAAAAATTATGGCCATTTTCCTTATTGGAGTTTTCACCCCTTCACCGTAAGTATTCTTATGTGAATTGGACTGGAAACTGTTTTTTGTAGCGGTTTCAGTTCGCCCTGCTGGGCCCCTTCGCGGATGTCATTTTGCAAACACTCACACCGCACATTTTTGAAACTTTTTCCACAGTAATAGTCAAGCTGTCAACATTTTTTAAGTTCAGATGAGAGTCCAATACATTTAACACCACAGGTTTTACTTGCACAACAGTCATACTCCATATAGGCTTCATGTTGTAGGCACTTTCATCCTCTTGCGAAAATGAAATAGAACTGAGCTTTCATAGTTTTTGCCAACAAATTTTTTGGTCTAGTAGCCAGTACCTATGTTTGCTTTTCATGGACAATGGAGATTAAAACTGATTCGCTTTTCCTAATGACTTTATAATGATCTTGGTTTCCCAAAGAATGTGTTTATAATGGAAGCTATTGAGAATTGATAAATATCGATAAGATTTTTACAATGAGTTTTTAATATATTTTCTCTATAATAATAACTCTCTTATTTATTATACATCGATGATTGAATCATGCTTTAGGTTAAACAAAAATGAAAGTCTTTTACACAACTGTAGTCAATTGTTGTGTGCGCGTATATTCCAGTGCTATGATTCTTAAATCCGGTCCTGATGCGCCGCTCAGGGCAAACCGGCAACGTGGTCGGCCGTTCTTCTGTAAGAAATAGATACGTTTAACATTGCCTACCTTTATTCTAATTATATTATCTAATCTAATCTATAAACTATTACTTCATTCTTCATCCATGTTAACCAAAAATCCTATCTTATATACTAAAAGGCTAAGCCCTTTTCTTGTGCGCAATACTCCTCCTAAACGGTGATAGATAGGAGAATAATTTTTTCGAATAATTAAACAGATTGTTGAGTAGATTCCCCCTAAGGTTTCAAATTTAAAAAATTCGAACCGGTTTAAAAATAGCGGCCATAAAATGAATTTTTCCTATAGTAAAGTATAGGAATTTTACAGGTTTCATTCTTCAAAATTTACAGTCCTACTTTTCAATGTATTTTTAAAATATGACCGCGTCTACTTTTTTCTTATACTTACTGCTTTTATACTCGCTGTGTCACAGGGTAAGCAGCGTCACAGGGAAAGACCGGTTGTCACTCGACACTGAGGAGTAGGCAGATTGAGACCTCAGTTCCGAGAGACAGTTCTTGTATTTATAATACAGAACACGATACATATATATGTATATATATATATATATATATATATATATATATATATAAAATAATATATCTAAAGTTAATCTGTCTACCAGTTAACAGCTAACATCAGCAATCTGTTATCTTATTCAGACAAATCAATATTCAATATTTTCATTAAGTTTATAACTGCCTCTAAGATAAAAGCTTGGGATATCTATATTTACTGTTGTCATCAAATAACTTTCTATTTCACTATAATTATATAAAAATTGATTACCCACCGGGTTCAGTGACTTTGATTGACTGCTTATTCCTTAAATAAACAATAAAATTGTACAGCCGGCAACACTGCCAAATTTGATAGTTCCAATCACAAGGTGTTGCGGTCAAATAACTTTCGTACTAGTTTCATCCACAGAATGTTTGTTTACCTATTGCCATGGTTACTTTGTGGTATTGTTGGTCTTTTAATAGGGTTGGAAAAATCGGGGTTAGTGGTGATGAAAGTTGCGGTGACACTGAAAAATTATTTTTAAAGGTAAATTCTAAAAGAAAATTGCACAATTGTTAACGGTCGTAAGATATAATAGACTTGAGTAAAAAGAAAAAAAGTTATTTGAATAAATTTTCTTTATTGTTCGAGGGAAATTCGGTTCACTAAAATCAATACTTAGAGATGACTGTGGTAATCCACTAGTTTATTTACTGGTTTCAGTTTATTGAGTTTTATTTTATTGTTTTAATTATTTTGCGAAACATGCGAGACTAGATACGTCAGCGCTTTTTGTTTGTATAGGCAGTTAGGTCCAATACTTGTAGCTTCTTTTGTTTTGTAGTTTGTAATAGTAGTTTTTGAAACAATACATATAATCTAGAGCAGTGGAAGTCTTATTTATTCTGGTAAGTTTTAATACAGAAAATCGCTACACTCAGTAAAAATCATTTTAGATTGCAGGTATGCGTACTTAGATGATTTCTCCTTTAATTTTCATTTTTA